TCATCAGTTTGCTCAGAAGGCATATAAGAAGAAATACCATTATCTGGTTGCTCCGTAGAGGTACTGTTTTATAATCTATAAATAAGTCACTTATCACCCTTCACCTGATCTGAAAACCTGGACTATGAGAAGAAAAATGATATATTCTCTGAAAAGAGGATATCAGTTGATACTAGATATTTATTAAGATCTGAAAAGTAACACCGATATCCCTGTTGCTGGTGAGAATATTCTAAAAAGATACACTTTAAGGCTTTGGGATCCAACTTAGTAATACTGGATCGTACATTTCGAACATAACAAATACTACTAAATACTCGCGATTGTACCAGGAATAACAACTTGTTTGGAAAAAGAATACTATAAGGAATATCACTTTCAAGTATTACAGATGGTAGACGATTAATCAGGAAATAGGTAGTGGATATAATAGCATTACCCTAGAATTGCTTAGGAACTTGTGTCTGAAGTAAGAGAGCTCGAGCAGTTTCAAGTAAATATCTGTTCTTTCTCTCAACAACCTTGTTTTGAGATGATGTATCAACATAAAAAGACTGATGAAAAATCCTATGTTGAGTCATATAATTTTGAAATGAGTTTAACATATGAAGAGTTTAATGAGTCTCACATATGTGATGTTTGTAAGGCTTTCTATCGTATTGAGAAGGAGGCCAAATCTCTCATAGCCTATTTTATGAAATTTAAAAGGACATGAGGAGTTTAATGTACATTTGTCGTTCATTGCTGATATCAAGGGACAACAAACACAGAGAGAATGGATGACCATAATGAGTTTTTTGACTGATTTTCCATATGAAATTGAGACTATTAAATCTCAAATTTTATCTGGTTTCGAGATCACATCTCTTCAGGAAGTTGTTAGTAGAGTGTTATGCACAGAGACTACTATACCTAATCAGCATACTAGTTCTTGTTATTAGAGAAGGAGGAAGAAATAATAACAGGGGAGGAAATAGAACAGTGGATAGTCGGTAGAATGATTCAAGCAGTATTGTTTGTTATTACTGTCATGAGCAAAAACATACGGAACGGCAATGCAAGAAATTACAGAATTGGAAATCAGAGAACACAAACTGCGAATATTGTTACTACTGCTACTGTTAGCTCCTCTTTTGAGAAAACTATTATGGTTTCAGTCAATGAGTATGCAAGGTTCTCTCAGTTCTTTAACAAACTCACAATGATTAATTAAACCAATTATCTCACTATTAATTGAATTTCTAGTTTGTAGAAACAATCATGCATCATCTCTTAGACAGATTTGTTTAGTTCTACCAGTGAGAGAGTCTTGAGTTAAGTGATCATTCTTATCAATATTACGTAGGTAAACCCTAATAGTTTTGTTCTACTTCAGATAATTTGTGTCATTTAATTTATGCTCAATGATTTTTGACATGACTGGGAGTGGCTCACTCACCGAAAACTTATTATCACTCATTCTTAACTCAAGAATATTCATAAATTGTTACCAAAAAATACTCAAACACAGTAGCTAAAGACACACGAAAAACACTGCAAATATATCAGAAAATTTGAGAAAACAGAGTACCTTTTCATGCACGGGTATCAACAACCCTACCAGAACCTCGCTGTCAACCACTAGAGGATCTATGCTGCCGTCGATGCTGCTGCTAGAGGGCCACGCACTGCCGCCGGAGTTCCACATGCTGCCTAAAACCACCAAACAACCTTCTTTAGATCGGAAATCACCACAGAACTCCAATGTTAGCCTTAATCTAGAATGACGTTCGCATAAATGCCCAAATTGTGCTGGAGAGCGGCAAATCGCTTGCTGTCGCGCAATCTGCTCCTCCGCGCCGTTTCCCTCTTCGACCCTCTAGTTTCGTGCACAGAATCAATTGGCCGAGCTCCTTTGTTGCTTTTATCCTCGAACGGGAACCCATCATGCACAGGAATGCTCTCCTCCGACAATCTCGCTGAATGCAACCTCAAAACGCCGAGCAAATTGCTTCCTCGGCTTCTCCCGCATACACCACCGGACTGGCCGCGCTTTGAACTGGACAGAGCTTGGTGGTTGTCTTTCTCCGGCGCCGGAAATGGATTGTTCAACCATTCTTTTTGTCTGATGTAATTTGACCCCTAAAATCCTAATCCTAACCCTAGCTTTGATACCATGTAAGAATTAGGAAAAGGAATAGTGGATATTTACTTATGTTTTATTGAAATAAAAATAGAGATATATATACATATAGACGGATTCATGTATGGTATAACCAACATAAATTACTCTAATAATTTTTTTACTAATTATACTTACATATTTGGAAAGATAATCATATTATTATGCATAAGAAATATTTTATAATATTCTAACAGTAGTCAATACCGTAAGACTGGGTAATCTTTTTGGCACAAATCGTGTTTTGTATCAGTGTTGCTTCCATTGTCGTTGTATTTGATGGTGAAAATTCAATTGCACCCTACTGGATTAACTATTGCTTTTTTAGAGGAAAGTTTGACAATCAATCTACATTAAAATAGGAAACAAAAGTAAAATTTAATAATGTCAAGTCTAGCTATTAATAACAAAAGGAACAAATAATAATTGCTCGATTGTTGACCAAATCAAGAATTAAAGGTTGGGAATATTCTTATGATCATGAATCAAATTTTGAGAATATTTTCACACATGTTATGATGAAAATATATTTGACTATTTATAATAATCATTGTGGCAAGAAAGTAATACTAAGAACAGGGGAACTTTAGTAGTAATACACTATGAGAAAAAAAAAATTAAGATTGGAAAATATTCCCTTAATACTTTAATCTTCAGGAACAACCCATTTTTTTCTTATTCTGGCTATGTGATCTTGTATCATTTTAGAAGTACCTGATTTTGTGTCTCAACTTTTTGTAAATGTTTAAATTGCACCTTATTTTTTTTGGTGTGTAAATCAAATCTCAACTTTTGAAAGTGCAATCACTCCCTAACAGACTTTTGAAAGTGCAATCACTCCCTCGCTGTTAGGAAAAAGGTAACACCATCAAGTAGCAACATATGTAGATAATGATGTCACTGTTTTTGTCCATGTACATGCCACATAGATGACAGGTGCTATCCACGTGGACCCATGAAAAAGGTTTTCATCTGTGCCCTAGAACTGGAGAGGATTGTGCAAACATGATGTGGTGGGACCCAATGGACAATGTTGGGACTTTCAGTTCCACCAGCAACTCCTGCTCTTCCTCTGTGTTCAGGTCATCCAGCCAGATCAACCCGGATCTGAGCAACAGCGGTTGATTTGTTAGAGATAAACTAAAGCAATCTCAATTGGACCTGAACCTGATGATACCCTCCTATTGCAACACCTGCCAGGTAGATGTCATTGACTTCCTCTACCACTGCAACTCCTGCGGCTTCAATTTCCACCCCTGATGCATCAATCTCCCCATGGTGCTCCATGACAGCAACCTCAACCTCTACTTGCACAGAAAAGTGAGCTTTGCGTGTCACCAGTGTGGCCGCAAAGGGAGGAGCTGGAGTTAGAGGTTGACATGCAAGAGGTATAATCTGCATGTGGCCTGCGTGAAGGAGATGTTGGCGGAGAGTTGGCACGAGTTGTATTTTAGGGGAGAAAAAAGGAGGAAGGGGAAACAAAAAAGGCAGATGAAGAGGTGGTCCCTGTGTCTTATTTAGTGAAGAAGATTAGTGAAAATTAATTAATTAGTTAATTTAATTAATCTAATAATTTTATTTATTCATTTAATTCATTCAATTAATATGTGGATTTTGGTTTTTATGTCACAAATACAACCCTTTTTAAGTGGGTCCGCATGGATGCCATGTAGATGACATGTGGCATCTATGTGGATTAAAAAAATGAAATCATTATCTCAGCATACTAATATTTGATGGTGTTAATTTTTTCTAATAGTGATAGAATGATTTGCATATTTTAAAACTTGAGGTTGATTTAAATCCAAAAATATTTAGGGTACAATTTTAACATTTTCCAGAAGTTATTGATGAAATCAGGTATTTTAGCCTTTTTTTTTGGGTTGTGTATAGTGCTAATTTTCCATTAAAGTCTATTGCAACAATTAAAATGAAAAGATTGTCTGTTTTGAAACTTTCTTATGTCCTCTGCACAAGTTTAATGCCCCAAATGATAATTTTGCTCCTTCCTACATGGAACTTAAATATGTTATCTTGCAAATATTGTTTTCTGTTGTTTCTCTATTTTCTCATTTATTTGCTCGTTTATTATTGCAATATCAGTCTATGAACTTTGGACTTGTCAGGTCAGGTTGTATCTTGTTCCTGTAGTATGCGTGACATGTCTTCATGATGTTGGGTCACGTTGCTGTCTTTTTTTTGCGGAAAGATGCGGATTGGAGACTTTGGACTTGGTTATTTGATATTTTTGGTGTTGGTTTTTTTCTCCAAATCTTGAGCTTTTGTTTTTTCAATCACTTCTTATCATAGCATTGGAAATAATGAGGATAGATTTTCTGGGTAGAGGGTGTTATGGCTGGAGAAATGCAAATTTTTATAAGGATTATATTTCTCCTCTTTGCTTCTTTAGGGCAAGATGACTTTTTTTAGCTTTCTCTTGGGGTTACCTATAAGGTGTGTGTGTTCTTTCAGGAAGTTACTTTCTCTATTCTATATAGGGTTTGGCCAGCCCTTCTTTATTGAATTTTCTTTTCCATTATTTCCATTTTTCTTCTTTTTCTTTTTGTTTTTTCTATTGGTTTTGGGATGCCTAGTCCTCCCCTAATTTTTCCCTCTTCCTTTATGATATACTTTTTCCGATAACTATTTGGTTTCCCCATTTATTTTGTTTTGTTTTTGGTTGGTAGAATACCTTTTGGATAATTTGATAAGACCTATTGAAAGGAATTTGATAATACTGCACATGATGTAAATTTACTACTGAGTTTAGTTGTACTTGAATGTTTTTAGTTGAATGAAATAACCTAAGAGTTTTCCCGGGTGGTTTGAACTCAGGCAGGCCACGGTTGGGATGTGAAGAGTGTTGACTGGCACCCCACAAAATCTCTATTAATTTCTGGTACACTCTGATTTCTTCTTGACCCTGGATAAGAAGAAAGGTCTTGGTTAACTTCTTTGGAACAGTCTTTATTTAAGTGATCCTGTTGATGCTTATTGCATTTGTTTGCATAATTAGTGGAAA